ACAAAAAAAAAAATTATTTTCTTTTGACTCCATAAAACTTCGTATCAAGCTGATTTTTATACCAGTGATAAGCCTGTTCTAAACCTTCTCTAAATCTTATTTGCGGTTCATAACCCAGCAAGTTTTCAATCTTAGAGACATCTGCCTTACTATGCCTCACATCTCCGGGTCGTTCGGAGCCGTATTCAGGCTCAATATCTTTTCCGCTGATCTCCTGCAGCATTTGAATCATTTCGTTTAAAGTCACCTGGTCGCCACAGGCGGTGTTGTACACCTGGTTAAGGGCTACCCTGTTTTCGGTGAAAAGGGCGAGGTCGTTGGCCAAAACTGCGTTGTCCACGAAAGTAAAATCTCTACTGGTTTCGCCATCTCCGTTAATGGTAGGAGCTTTACCGTCTATAAAAGCCTTGCAGAAAATAGGGATTACTGCAGCATAGGGATTATCGGGCATCTGCCTGGGGCCGAATATGTTGAAATAACGCAGGCCGATGTAATTCAGGCCGTAAGTCTTTTGGAAGACATCTGCCATTTGTTCTATGCTAAACTTGGTGACGGCATAAGGACTCAAGGGATTGCCGATCTTATCTTCCACCTTGGGGAGACCCGGATGATCACCATAGGTGCTGGAGGAACAGGCGAGGATAACACGTTCTACATTGTTCTTTACGGCCGCATGTAAGACGTTAACTGTTCCCAGAATATTCACCTCGGTGCTGCGCATGGGGTTTTCGATGCTGCGGGGTACGGAGCCGAGGGCGGCTTGGTGGGTTATTTTATCAATTCCTTCGCAGGCTTGGAGGCAGGTGTCGTAATCGCAGATGTCGCCTTTGATAAACTCAAATTTGGGGTGGGTTTCGAATTCGGCTATGTTTTCGTAGTAGCCGTTGGAGAGGTCATCGAGGACGCGGACGAGGGCTATACGGTCGTCTTTGAGAAAGTGTTCTACGAGGTTCGAACCGATGAAGCCGGCACCTCCGGTGATTAGTAAGTTTATTTTGTTATTCGCTTCGCTCATCATTATTGTATCGCAGCGCTCGCAGCGGTTTTCGCAACGGTCGCGGTGAATTGTTGTGATTTGTTATTCGTTTCGCTCATTGTTGTTGTTACGCAACGCGCGTAACGGTTATCGCAGCGGACGCAGCGTTCTTCGCAGCGTGAGCAAAGATTTGATTTGTTAATCCGCTATTCAATGATTCACTATTCGCTTTGCTCTAAATTTTAATATAGTAACGCGAGTATAAAGCTTCGCTTTAATCGCAGCGGTCGCAGCGAAATACGCAGCGTTCTCCGCGATACTTTTACAATCTACCGTCTACTTGTTCTTTCGGTAAAATAGATTTCACATCATAGACTATCCCATTGCCGTTTTTAAGCGCGCTAAGGTCAAGAGTAAGGAACTGCTTATGGGCTACGGCCAGGATGATGGCGTCATAGGGACCTGCAGGCTGGTCTACGAGATCAATGTCGTATTCGTGTTTTACCTCTTCTTTGTCGGCCCAGGGGTCATATACGTCAACGTCCAACTCGTAAGCGCTTAACTCGCGGTAGATGTCGATGGCGCGGGTATTACGGATGTCGGGGCAGTTTTCCTTAAAAGTGATGCCCAGCATAAGGGCGCGAGCTCCTAGTATTTTATGTTCCTTGCGGATGAGGCATTTTACCACTTCCTGGGCTACGTAAGGCCCCATACCATCGTTGAGGCGCCTGCCGGCCAAGATGATTTCCGGGTGGTAACCTACTTCCTGGGCTTTTTGGGCCAGGTAATACGGATCCACGCCTATGCAATGACCACCCACCAAGCCGGGTTTAAAGGGTAGAAAGTTCCACTTGGTACCGGCCGCTGCTAAGACTTCGGAAGTGTCGATGCCCAGACGGTTAAATATTTTAGAGAGTTCGTTAACAAAAGCAATGTTGATGTCGCGCTGCGAGTTTTCGATCACCTTGGCGGCCTCGGCCACCTTGAGACTGGCGGCTTTAAAGGTACCCGCGGTAATTACCGATTTGTACAACTGGTCTATAAACTCGGCTGCTTCCGGATTGGAGCCAGAGGTTACCTTGAGGATTTTAGCAACAGTATGCTCTTTGTCGCCCGGGTTGATGCGCTCAGGAGAATAACCCACGTAGAAGTCCTGGTTCATTTTCAGACCGGTGGCATTTTCTAGCTCGGGCACGCATACTTCTTCAGTCACCCCAGGATAGACGGTAGATTCATAAATTACCGTATCGCCTTTCTTCAAGACCTGGGCTACGGTTTGGGAAGCCTTGATCAAGGGTGTCAAAACCGGGCGGTTGTGGTTGTCGGTAGGGGTAGGAACGGTAATGATGAAGACATTGCAATCGGAAATGTCGGTGATCGCATCACTGCAGTAAATGCCTTTGTCTTTTATCTTGGTAATATTCTTCACCAATACCTTCTGCAAATCTTCGTCTGCCACTTCCAAGGTGTGGTCGTGGCCTTTTTGCAGTTCGTCAATGCGTTTTTTGTTGATGTCAAAACCCACGGTAGGGTACTTTTTGGCGAATTCTACCGCTAGGGGGAGGCCAACGTAGCCGAGGCCGATGATGGCGATTTTGGTGCTATCGAGGTTCATTTGTATTTGTATCGCTGGGTTGTTTTTTAGTATCGCGAAGGTATTCGCTTCGCTCATTTCTTTGTATCGCAGCGGACGCGGAAAGCTTTGCTTTGTATCGCGGAGAGCGCGGTGTCTATTTATATCGCAACGAGCGCGGTGGTGCTTCGCTTAGTATCGCAGAGGGCGCGGTGTTACCTTTTTGTCGCTGCGGACGCTGCGTTATTATTTCGCTGCGAACGCTGCGATACTAACTCGCGCTGTGTTACTTTATAGTGCTACAAACCGTTTACTATACGTCTGATGCCGGTTTTGAGATACTTTTCGTTAAAATTAATGAGTAATCCCAATTTATAGTTGCCTAGCTTCAGATAGGTTAAGGTTTGAGCTAAGTGTCGGTCATCAATGGCTTCAATTGCTTTTAGTTCAATTACTACCTTATCCTCTACCAATAAGTCGATTCGGTAGCCTTGCTCTATTTCTAGGTCTTTATACTTTACTGGCAGCGCAAGCTCTTTATCCACTTTCAGACCATTTTTGAGCAAGTCGTGATAGAGACATTGCTGGTAGGCTGATTCTAAAAGCCCCGGCCCCAGGGTTGTGTGTATTTCAAAGGCTGAGTCTAATATTTTAGTGGCGATTAGGTTTTCGGTCATGGTTGGTTGGTATCGCTTGTTTTGTATCGCAGAGAACGCTACGTTTATTATTATCGCTGCGGACGCTGCGTAATTTTTTCTATCGCAGAGGGCGCTACGTTTTTTCTTTGTATCGCAGCGATCGCTGCGTTATTCTTCGTTGCGGGCGCTGCGTTATTTTGTATCGCAACGGGCGCGGAGGCGCTTCGGTTTATATCGCTGCGAGCGCTGCGCTGTTCTTCGCTGCGGACGCTGCGATACTAAACTGCAGGCGCTGCGTTATCATTTTTATCGCCATGAAGCCACTCCCATGCCCTTAATACTCTTCCCGTGGTTCACGCAACTGCCGGTTTAATTGCTGCATGTATTTAGCCTGTTCGTATAAAAGTTGATAATTGTGCTTTTCGGGTAAATATTGTTGGGCAAAATGCGCCACTTCCTGCCAGCTCCACAGGTGCATTTTTGGAGTAGGTCGAGCTATGGGCAAGGGGAATTTACCCGGGCCTCTCTCGCCTTTTACCAGTAAACGCACGTATTCGCGGGAAAGTCTCAGCCTTCTGCTTATTTCGGCTGCGGTAACAATATCACCCGGCTCCACCCCGGCTAATGCTACCGGCACGTTGGCCGAAGTAATAGCGATCATAGCTGATGATACGCCTTCCTTCAGTGAATTTGCCTCACGCACAAATTCGAGGTGCAGAATGCCATTTTGTTGATATAATAATGCATCATCACAGCCTGCCTCGAATAGGGCATCTTCCAACTCAGAATTCAACCCACCTGCGTAGTCCAGAATAAAGGTGAACTGATATTCTTGCCTCTGCTTTATTTCTGATGGGGACATTTTGCCATTATTTTTCTCAGTTGCCGGGCATGATGCCCCACATTTCGGGGCGTGCTCCAAATAGAAACAATACATCCTTTCCGGCTTTCTTCAGGGCAATACAATCTTCCAAAAGCGTGAGCTGAAGAACCGGCCGGTTTAAAACGCCAACCCAAGCTAATCGCCTCAGCTATTACCTCCTGTATCTCTCTGGATGGATGTTTCTTCAATGCAAATTTAAGGAAACAGTTGACACTTGTCAACCGTGTGGCTTTTTTTATCGCAGAGAGCGCTGCGATTTCTTTGTATCGCTGCGTTAATTGTATCGCAAAGGGCGCGGAGGCGCTTCGGTTTATATCGCTGCGTGCGCTGCGTTATTGTTGTATCGCAGAGGGCGCTACGTTTAATTGTATCGCTGCGGACGCTGCGTTATTATTCTATCGCGGGGAGCGCTGCGTTTACCTTTATCGCTGCGGACGCTGCGTTATTGTTGTATCGCAGAGAACGCTACGTTTAGTTTTATCGCTGCGAACGCTGCGTTACTTTTTTTTATATCGCTGCGGGCGCTGCG